GGTTGTGTAGTCCTCCCTCTGCTTTTCACCCTTCCCATACCCTGAAGATGCTCTATATAGGACCTGGAGAGATGGCTCACCGACTATAAGCCAATTGTTCTTACCTGGGTTCAATTTCCAGCACCCACGAGGTGGGTTCAGCCACCCACAGTTCTAGTTCTAGAGGATCTGATGCGGTGGTGCACATATGGTCATCCAGGCAAAACACTCATATACATAGGATAGATAAACCTTTCTAAAAATTGCCCAATATGAATATCACCGTAGATAGCCTAAGCATATCAAATCACTGTTTACTAAACAACAAAAAATAAAAATCTGATAACGTTCTCCTAGATTACATTGTACTTTTTTAATGATAAGCAGAAAAAACTGAAATGTTTTTCACCAAAGGAAATTATTCTTAAAGAAATAATCCGGACATGTTTTTTCTGAGAAGCGAATTCACAAAATAGATGAAAATAGATATGTAAGCAACAGTTACAATGTGGTTTCAGAAACTGGTGTCAAAAGGAGATCCTAATATTTCTAAGAAACTTAAATTTACTTTCTTTTGAGTGTTTCGCCTGCATGTGTGTCTGTACTAAATGCACGTCTAATGCCAGAGGAGATCAGAAGGAGACAACTGGTTGTGAACCACTTTGTGGGTACAGGAAACAGAAGCCATGTCTTCTTAACCTCTGAGCCATCTCTCAAGCCCCAATAAAGATATTTTCACCTATGCAAAGTGTGCTGGATAGCTTTATGTCAATTTGACACAAGCTAAAGTCATCTGAGAGGAGGGAACCGCAATAAAAAAAAAAAAAAAAAAAAAAAAAGCTTCCATAAGACTGAGCTGTAGACAAGCCTGTAGGGCATTTTCTTAATTAGTGATTGGTGGAGGAGGGCTCAGCCCATTGTGGGTGGTGCCATCCCTGGGCTGGAGGTCCTGGGTTCCATAAGAAAACAGGCTAAGCAAGTCACCAGGAGCAAGCCTGTAAGCAGCACCCCTCCATGGCCTCTACATCAGCTCCTGACTCCAAGTTCCTGCCCTGCTTGTCCTGACTTCCTTGATGATGAACTGTGACATAGCAACGTAAGCAGAAAAAAAAACATTTTCTCCCTAACTTGCTTTTGGTCATGGTGTTTCATCAAAGCAAGAGTAACCCTAACAATGACACGAAGTTACATCCTTCTGAAGATGTTAATAAAAGAAATAAACTAAGAAAACAGAAATAGTTTCTATGAATTATCGGTGGAGTTAAGCAAAAGCAGATCACCAGTCCATTGATAGCATTCCATTTGGCTCTAGCAGAGACTCCATCAAAGAAACAAAAGTTGACAAAATCTGTAATGTTCTACAACAGTTTCAGAAGAAGATATATAAGTAACTGGCAAAGTTTATAAGGGAATTCTATGATGAAGTTACACAGACAAATTCAACAACTTGAATGAAATAGACTAATTCCTTAGGTCCACCAACTAGTAATACTCCCTAATATAAAAGCATTTGAGTTACTCATTAACTAGTAAGGAAATTGGATGTGTAACTTGAAAACTCCTCCCATTCCCACCGGGTCCAAATCATTTCCCTGGAGAACTAAAGCACATGTCTCAAGAACAGGTGGCACAAATTCTGTACACTCTCTGCCACGGAGGAGCTGAGAAAGAAGCATACCCTATTCTTTACAGAGCAACTACTATCTGTATACCAAAACTGAAGATGGTATGAAGAAGGAAAACTGCACAGCAACATATCCTTAAACATGGATGTAAGAATCATTAAACACTGGAGCCATCAATTCACCTGTGAAGGAGATGTTCAACATGTGTGAGGCCCTCCCAATCAAAGCCCTCACGACTGCCAATGTAGTTCAGTAGCATCATAAATGATATACTATGACCAACTGGGATTTCTTCTAAGGGGATGCAAGACTGAATTGATATTATCAGTACTACAGAATCAGCACATTAACTCCATTAGCGAACTTAAGAACCTAAAGTAGCACACAAACATACCAGAGAAGAAACAGAGAAGAAACAACTGACAAAATACAAAATTATTTCACAACAAAAATTCTTTAAAAAATAAGGATAGAGGAAACTTCCCTAATTTATATAATTTATAATTATAATTTATAATAAAGAATATGTACAATCTATACTCCCCTCTAAGACTGGGAAGAAGCAAAAATGTTTATTCCTACCACTCTTGGTCAACATGGTAGAAGTCCAATCCAGTGCAATAAGACAAGAAAAAGGAATTAAAAGTATGTTCATAAAAAATTAAATAAGAGCCGGGCGTTGGTGGCGCACGCCTTTAATCCCAGCACTCGGGAGGCAGAGGCAGGTGGATCTCTGTGAGTTCGAGACCAGCCTGGTCTACAAGAGCTAGTTCCAGGACAGCCTCCAAAGCCACAGGGAAACCCTGTCTCGAAAAACCAACAAAAAAAAATAAAATAAGAAAGAAAGGAAACTGCCTCAAAAGACAAATGGCATTATTGTTTGCATGAGAAATCCCAAGAAAAGTTCCTAGAACTGATAAGTGA